CCGGCCGTCGATACACTGCGGATAATCCGGTTCAAAATGCACACGTTGCGATCGGGACCGCATCAAACTTCGAAAAATGTGATAATTCGCAAAAAGCGATTCGTTATAACCAGGGATTACTGTATATCTACTGCAAGAATGGACGAGTGCCTCCCCAAAATTGTTACATGCACATGCCATATTAATTTGACAGATGTGTACGCTCTGCCTTGTACATGCACATGTGCGAAGTGGGTGATCCTTTCTCTTAAACAGCGACCCTTTTTCGATAAACAGCATTTCTCTAAGCCGAGGCTCTGCTTCCCCTAAACCAAACTTCGATAAAACGAGCTCGTTCTCTAAAACGTGTTTCGATGAAATGGCGTTCAAACAGGGTGTATCTCAAAACGTCCTATTCGCATTTCGCCCTTTCTTGTTTTGCACCATTCTTGTTTGAGACCTTTTCGTTTGAACCTTCTCAAAACATCCAAACCAGTTTTTTCGCACTACGATCAAATAACGCGAGCTACGTTCTCAGCCCTTGATTGGCTCCAACAGCTCGCAGTGTGTGCTGCAAGTCCACTTTAAGGAAAAACAGAGTATGGAATGGAGGTTAGCCCTTCCGAGTGCACCCTCCCACGGCCGGGAGAAAGGAAGACTACGAAGCCCTGCTTTGACACAAAGGAGCAGTTCGGTGTCTTATGGCCCAGCGCCTGGTACCACTTCCGGATAATTCATTGAGGGAGTCCTGACCTTTGCTGCATCTTTCAAGAGCAGAATGGACCTATTCCAGGAACCGTTAGCCAAACCGTGAAACCAAAGCGTGTATGTAAGTGCGTGCATGCAGGTGAGTTGGCAGGGGAGAGGGGTGGACTTGAAGCTTCTTCGGGAATATATGCGGTGACCAAGGCACAAAACCAGCACCTCAAAATGTCCCACTTGATTTTTTTTTCTAGGAGGATAAAACACACCGGATGTAACGAAAATGGACCAAATGCAACCGGCCCAGCCAAGGAGGACGTTTTGAGAATCGTCCTTCTGAGAAGGTCCTAACGAGAGGGTTGAAACAAGAATGGGCTCAAAAGATAACCGCCCGTTCAATCAACCGTAGTAAACCCGAATTCGATCCTGCATTGTTGTTTCTGCAGTGGCTCGATGCGTCGTTTCGCCAACACATGGCGGCGGCCTTTTGCCGGGCGCGTAAGTGCGATGAATTTGAGCGGCTCGGGCGGATTTTGTGACAGTCAGTAACAGCGGTTATTGAACTTCATTTTCGTAAAATATGCCTACAAAAATATTTGCATAAGCGGAAACAACTTGCCCCGCAGTGCTAACTAAGCCTCTCAAAATTTCCAACGCACAGCACACGGCATAGTACATAGTGCAAATGCGCATTTGAACCAAAAGGCAAACCGGTTCGAAACGATTCTTTTGTTTTGCTCCAGTTCAGATTCAGCTCCAAAACGGTATCAAACATTTCGGTTCGTGTTCTATTCCAGTTCAGGAAAAATAAGCGGTTCACTTCCGGTTACGTTTCGACACCCTGCTTGCAAGCAGACCCCTTCTAAAAGCAAAGCACTAAACTAGGGGACCATAAAAAAACCTTAAACTGGCAACTGCCTGCGTTCGTCGATATCACACAAAACATAGGCACTACTTCTGCAAAGCAAAAATTCCATCAGTACCACCCTGAACAATGAGTCAGCACCTGTGCTCACTGTTCACATAGAGATGCCAAAAGGCATCATCAATATTCACCACAGGTCTTCACAGTGTCCAACTAACTGCAGAAAGGACTATCTACTCTCCTCTTTGGTGCAATGATTTTTGCACTAAATGCCGGTTAGAATTAATTCCCAACGTCTCTACTATAACCTAAGATACATGCATTAGCTTTTCTCCCCACGCAGTGATAGTCGTAGAAAAAAGTTTTAAGAAAAACAAGCCGCACCCGCCCCAGAAACTTGCAGCCAGAACAAAGGACCGCGTGGTCCGGAACCGATTATATGCACCCAATGTTTAAGGGGGGACACTACCCAGAGAAAAAAAAATTCTGCAAAAAACATTGATTTTTAACAATTACATATTTACATCCATCTACATCCAGAGAGTATTCCCAGAAATTTTCACTAGTTTACACTGCATAGTTAATTTTTTTTTTTTTTTATAAATTATTTTCTGCCATTGAAGCTAAAGAAAGAGTAATGTTTAGAGCACTTTGAACACATTTTTCTCCGTTCCACTTTTTGGTATAAATTCTATTCAGTCAAAGCTATCGTTTGATAATGGCAATACCGGAAAGGCCCGTTCTTATCTTTTCCTGACTGAAATTTAATAAGGCATGCGCCTATGGAGTTTGTTTGTCACTTTACAGATGTCTTTTATAAAAAATGTTGAAATTTTGTCTAGACACAGAAGACCAAAAACTTGACCAATTTTGCAGAAGAGAAAATTGATAGAAATCAATGACATTTTGCAAAAAACTTTCCATAGGCACACCTCCTAGGCATTCTGCTACATATGTAGCGAATAAAAATCTTGAATATTGTGATAGTTTTCCGACGATAGATTAACTAAACAATGTAGGGGTGTGGCTGATAGAAGCTGCCCTAATTTTCTTCCCACTTAACCGACAGACCAGAAATTTTGTTATGCACCCTCTAGCATGACCACCAGTTTACCCTGTAAATTTAATTAATTTTAAGCCAAGGGTTCAAAAGTTGACCCTCCCAGGGGGTGTCTCCCCTTAACATAATTACAAGCTGGGGTTGGCAAAACACAGGGCATACGCTGACCTCCAATGTTAGGGTTTGGATATTGTCGTCATTGCAGCGATTGGACATGGGCCACTACTCAAATGCTTCTCGTGCTATTGATTATCACGAGCCCAGATCAAGTGCTTGTGCAATGCACAAGTCCAATTTATAAGCCGCACTCAAATATCATCACACAGGGAACTATGATAACACTGTGACCTACGAGCTACGCTGTCAAGTTTTGCGAAGGAGAGATTGAAAGAAAGCACTCACTTTTATCCTTCAAATTACACAGCAAAAAAAAAATATTTCTTGGTTGGTGACGTCGCATGCGAGTGTAATTGGGTCTCACTAGTGCCAGTAAGCTCGTGTAAAAGGAAAAACATTTTCAGTGAATACAGTCGAACCCCGTTATAACGAAATAGTACCAAAGGCAGAAAGACATCTGTTCGCCATATGCAATGTTCGTTATAAAAGTACACACCAAAACTGACGCAAACGTTTCCGCAATTGAGCCCGTGCAAGAGTGTGCACAGTACTACGATATAAAAACGCACCATCGCGGAGATCCTTACCTGTCACTAAGCAGCATTAAGGGGAGACACTGCTCTTTGAGGCAAAAATATGCTAAGAAAACACATTTTTGAAATTGTGTTTCTTGAAGATTGGCAGGCACCTATCATCTTGTCCTGAAAAATTTTCTTTAAATAAACCTCTCTCATCTTGAAATATTCTCTTAGAAACAAAGTAAAATGAGTGTCAGGATGTTTTTTTATATTATTTCTGAGTGAACTATTTACACCCTTTACTATTTTATAGAAGCCATATCTCCACTTGCACGTGTCTAACCTTCATATTTCTTTTTTCTTTGTCTGGTAGGTGTATGTGTGACATGTGCAATAAGGGGTACAAATATATTAAATAGGCTTTTTTTATGTGCCTTTTAGGTATCTTGCAACAAATCATTTTGAAACTGAAAAGTTCAAAAATGTCCTAAAAAGCTAATAAAGAATCCTAGAGCTTTCATTTATACCTTATTGGATTCCACATACTTTTTAGTTCACTGATATATGTTTATTTTTTTTAATTTTGGTAATTCAATTTGTCTTAGTCCTTCTCTTTGCAAATGAAATTTTCAATATTAACAAAACTAATTAGGTTACATCAAAACCAAGTACATACTTGTAGTCAGATTGTAATGGGAAATAAGCTATGTAAATTTCATTTGATTTGAATCACAAGTTATATAAAAAAAAGCTCTCGAAGCAGTGTTGCCCCTTAAAAAAATAGATCGGAACATGAGGATATCAATTTGAACGCGAGAAACGACGTTAGCTGGATCTATCATTACGTTTATTTGAAGATGTGATTTTGGGCTGGTGCCTCTTCACCTGGAACCACCGCACTGGAGCTAACTGCTGTTGTTGATCAAATCATCAAGCCCTAACAGACACGCCAGACTTATTGCTCTTGTCTGAAAAAGCAGACAAGACACCGGCAGATTTTGTGCCTTTACGTCCTATGAGAACAGACCCTCTTACATGTCCGGGCCGAGGCAAGGCCTAAACTCTTTTGGTCAGTCTTGATGGTGTTGCTCGCATACCAGTCTTTTATGTTCTTCCTTGCACTCCAGATGGTAAATATTGTGCTTGGTGCAAGCTCAAAGTCTGCAGTGATGTCTTTTTTCTTTTGTCCGCTGTCCACCGCCCTCAAAACCTTCACTTTTGTCTCCAGAGAGCCGGCTTTTTGCTTTGTCACCATTTGCAGCTCCGCTAAGAGTGGCGTGGTTAGTGGTTGGCTTTAGTCTGCACTGGTTCTTGATGCCTTGCATGGAGGCCAGCAGCGGCACAACCGCCGTAATTCGCTCGGTTCATAGGTGGCGCTACCTCCCGAAACGCACATTTTTGCACATCGGGTAATTTAATCTTTCCAAATTTTTCATTTAAAAATTACTTTTTGTATTTTTTCTACCTTTTAATAAGCTTCATAGTATTTTGTGATTCAAGAAAAGCAGAAATTGTTTTGCTATAACCGATGGCGCGTCAGATTTCACGGTTTCGGTTTTGTTATGTAACTAGAACTCCCAACCAAATAAAGCATGACCAACCAAATTTTGTGATTAGTTTGCTACATCTGATAATTCGCTATATCAGTGTTCATAATAAAGAGGTTCAACTGTATTGTAGCATTGCCCCTTTAAGGATTAACACATGTAGACCAAAGCCACATAACATGTCCCTTTCGTACGAGGAGGAGAATGCTCACGTGAGCCGCAGCCGAGGGGCGTAGTCCTGAAGTCCTGGTAGTGCTCTTCGTAGATGACCGGTAGATTGTTGCTGTCGCCGTCCAGCTCGGCACACTCCACTTCCAACGGCGGGAGCAAGGCAAGGTACCGGGACCTCCGCAGAGCCTCAGTCACCTCGTGAAATAGTTGGGTGCTGTGCGGGAGTTTCATGCGCGTTGTAGTCGTGCTCACAATTACGCACGATTAATAGTAATTAGCAAGATTTACTAAGTGGCACAACGGAAACCTAACCCCAGGCCATGGTTTGGAGCTATGAGGAGGAAGTAAACGGGAGTACAAGCAGCTGAACTAAGTACGACTCATGGGAGCCTGTGGTGGTAGGCAACCGTCGGCGCATGCGGCCGGCTCCCGAGTGGCGAGCTGTAGCTTTCCACGTGATCTCACGAGGTTACAGGGCACGTTACGACGCACCAACAAAGTGACGCAGCGGACATACAATGTCACCATTTCACACAGCAGCCAACAGATAAGGCAGCGAGAGCAATAAACCTCTTCCTCATACGACAAAGGCATCACGTGACATAGATGACGTCACCAACTGCAGCGTGAAACACCCCGCGTCAAGCGAAGTGGTCAACTATTATGCAAAAACGTTCAAAACCACCCAAAGCACATCGCAACGGAGCATAACAAATCGTAATGCAAGCATAATGCTGATGCATGATATGCTCTGTGCTGCCCCAGTTTATGAGAGTGATAGAGACAAGTTTAAATATTTTTTGAAGCTGTTTTAGTCTGCGTTTTCTGCGTGAATTCCAAACACAACTCGCACCTATTCTCGCTGTCAACTATTTTGTGCTAAGTTCTCGAGGCACAACATAGCTTCCGCAGTGCTAGGCAGCAATGCAGAAGCTACATTAGCCTTGATGACGTGGCACAAAACAGATGAAATTGAGTATAAAGTGCAAACACTCCGTAAGCGTTGGTACTCGGAAAGAAACCAAAGCAGTCTCGTACAGTGACTCTAATGCCACACAATACTTTTCAAATAAATTGCAACATTTATTACTTTACTGTTCATACACACCAAACACACATACACACAAAAAAAGAAAGGAATCAAAGTTCTGCATCGTCACGCAAGCATGACATCGCGCAAAGAAAAAGTATGATGTCAAAGCGTGGCAACACTCTGAGCAGGGTGTGCCTGTTTGTTGTCTTAATTTTTCTTTTTCTCCCCGACATCCTTATCTGTTTGTGCCACTGTTTCACTCTCTCTCTCTCTCTCCCACTCAACATTACCTCCCACTCTTCTTTTTTTTTGGGGGGGGGGGGGTTTTTTGGCTTTTCTTTTTTACCTGCTTCCTTATCTCATCTTTTGAGTGTTGCTTGCTGATAATTTTGTTGCACTCATTTTGTTCTCCTCATGATGCTGCATGTCTGCAATTGTCAAGTCAATTGGTGCAATTGTTGGAAGGGTTCCAGTCACACAATGAGCAAAATGAGTGATCAGTGCAATGAAAATTCAGTACCACGCAGTTCTTGAAACTCCGCATATCTCAAATATCTTTCTAGTTCTTATGACTGAGTTAATGAGGGTTTACTGTACGTAGGAAAGGAAACACACACCACACATGAGTCAACATCCCTGCCTAAGACTAAATCGAGATAGGTACTGTTAGGAGTGGTGAGTTGCCTTACATCTGATGGTACATACAAACAAAGGCGGATTTAGAGAGGGGGTCCGGATGTCCTAACCCCCCTCTTGATTTCTGCACGTGTAAAAGTTAGGGCGTAAAACGAAGGAGAGGGAGAGGGGGTTCCTAAACATATGGTATGCTGACCAACACCACACAACCCTCTCAGGAAATTCCTGCATCCGCCCCTGCACGTAAACCGAGTTTTATGATGAGGAATATAGTGGCGTCCCCCTCCAACCAAAGAAGACAAAGCCACCTGGCAAGAGCCACGTATATGCACTTTGCCTCATGTCACAAGGCAGTGCACACGCGAAAGCATGAAATTAAGATTTCTGCCTAGCACAACGCCGACGCCGCAAGTGCAGCTGGCGAAGTCCCTGCAATGGCTATTGCTGAATATTGAAGAACACCTTCCGTCCCAGCATAGCAGGCCAAACCTCACCTGGCGTCACTGGCAGAGAGGACCGAAAAGCGGGGCTTCTCGATGATGAAGTAGGCCTCTGCGAAGCGCTTCACCCTCTGGAAGTGTCGCTGACGGGACAGCTGCTGGCGCACTTTCTCCTGGCCAAGGACCACCTCCAAGAACTGCTTCCAGAGTACGATGAGGGCACCGCACAGCTGGGCCACGTCGCTGTTTGCCACCGCCAGAAAGTCCTCTTCATTGTCCACCTTCTGGTAAGAGGACGAAAGCCGTACGGCAAGCAAGTTAGTCTGCTTCTTGAGCAGTGCGTACAGTAATGTCACAGTGCTAAGCTCCAATTGGAAGAATAGTGAGTGAACACAAAGGGTAGCTAGAGGAAGTTCTCTTTGTTATCCACTTCTGGTAAGAAGATGAAAGCCATAGCAAGCTCATCTGCTACCTGCACAGGGGTACAGCGATGTAACAGCCCCGAGCTCTGAATAGACAGATAGTGGGTAAACACAAAGGCTAACTAGTAGGGGTGCACGAATACCGAATAGTCTAAGCTCATTACAACAGACCTTGTTACAACAGAGATTTGGATATAACATACCAATCTGTGAAGTTCGGTTGGTTTTCCTCAATGTACTAGTATTGACTCAACTTCATATCTGCATACAACATACTCCTCTTACAACAAATATTGAAATCTTGGTAAAAATCAATGTCAGTTATAACGAGCTTAGACTGTAGTAGTTTTCGAATCGAATACCGAATCGAATCAAGAAAAAAAAGCTGAATATTGAATTGAATATTGAATAGTGATTTTATTTGTAGAAATTTTTCGAAGTGTGCAGCAAATGAGATTATTATATGTGCAGAGTATGCGCCTGTTGCAGAATATGCATCTTGTACAGAACAAAAGCTCAAATGTAAAAAAATTCTGGTGAAAAAAGAATACAAAAAATAAAAGCAGTTGCTGTTGGATGTTGGGCACTAAAGATCCAATTTTATGGCACAAATATAATCTATCTACCCTAAACGTCACAAAAATACCAAAGTTACAGCCACACATGTCTTGTTTTCTTGTTAAAAGCGGAACCTAACACCGCGACTTTTTTTTAATAAATATTTGTATATCTCAGAAAAGGGGCATTTTGCGATATTTGGTTTCCATTTTAAGGAAGAAAAAGGGCACCCGGGATTTTATTTCACATAAATAAACAGATAGGTGTTAAATCTGAGTAAACAATATAATCTGAAGTAAGAAAAAAAACGTGGTTAGGTGGCGCAAGACATTGTCCAACTGCCGCTATGCATCTATTTTTCCGTTTATCTATCCCGTCTTAGAGCCTTGATTTAAAAAGAGGGAGCAAGTGAAACTGAAATCACGAAGACGGCTCCAGTGCAAATTGGTCGTAAGTGCGCATGTGTTGTGTTGTCGCGTGGAAGAAGGCGAGCAAGCAGAAGGGCGACAACGCCTGCCCTCCCTGCCCTGCCTGCCCGATCCCGATTGACGCCTTCGTCTTTTCGTCACCTTCTAGCAGTTCGTAATTCAAACGCGGCTATTGAACGGCAAGCACTCTTGGTCAAACAATTCTAGTTACTCTTAGCCAGTAGGAGCCTATGAGAAATTGTGAGTATACTGTGAGAGGAAAGTTACCGTGATCTGAGCAAAGACTTTCTCCCACGGAGGAGGGGCTGGGTCCTTGCTCTTAATGTGGAGAAAGCAATCCTGGGGAGTGGGAAGAGAGGGGAGAAGAAAAAGCAGAGGGAAGAAGAAATGCCAAAAGACCACAGGCCAAATGCCAGATTGAAACACCAGTCACCGTTAAAGTGTGTCCATACTCTCACCTCAGCTTAATCTCTGACTGCCGAAAACGTCACAACGTGAGTGGGTAGCCTAGATGAACTCTCGCGGTGCATAGGAACTTATGCTCCCAAGCAATACTTAAAAAAGTAATGAGCTTGTGCTCATAACCTTTCCTACCGTACATGCTAAGATGAAACATGCTACAACCTCATAGTTTGCAGAAAACACAAGATTTTATAGTAATAGTAGTCAGACACAGCACCGACAGCGCTGCGTCTATGCACTTCTCTCTCGTCCTTTGTCAATTTTTTTGCGCTGTTTCCACTTTTGCAGTATTAGTAACGTTGTCAAATATCTTTTCCATGTGTTCGGTTAGGCGTAAGTATGATTTCCTTGGTTAGCACCTCAAACGTGTGGGCTCTGCACTAACTTGTTCAAAATGCACAAGGTTGCCAACAAAACTTTAGCCAGACTCAAATTGAGAACACACTAGAGGTCCGCAGAATAAGGTTAGTCCTCAAAGAAAGACTACCTACTTCACGCACAATGCTCTGAATGTTGGATGCTCAAGTGAGGTGAAGCCCAGTGTTGAAAGTTGAGGTCATACAAAACAACTTGAAAAACAAGAAAATACAAAAGTGTACGAAAGGAGTACCACTTAGAAGTGATATTGTTAAAGAAGGAAAAGCATGAGGTTCTCGTCACTAGGAGAAAAGCAGAATCATGCATTGGTATGCCTTCAGTTGCTTTTAAACTGATGCTGACTTCTTTTTTTTTTTTTTCTCGGACAAATCTGAATCTGCGTTGGTATAGCTAATATTCCTTGGGTGCATTTTGTTTTCGGCCTCTCAGAAGGATACCAAGGAGCCGACGGCAAAACCTTGAGTGAAATGAAAGGCAAACTCCCCACCTTGGCAATGTCACTGAGGCCTTCCAGGCAAGAAGCCAGGTCTAGTGAGTCTGGAATAAACGGGACATAGGTTGCAACTCAACAACTTGGACAAAAAAAGTTAGTGCAGAGTTGCGGCACAACTACCCTCGGAACAAAGCAACCATCAATACCGCGTAATGCACATAGGACATAGGCATCTGTGCACGTAGACCAGTACCTTCACCTCAAACAAAAACCAATGTACAGTAACTTACTACCAACTTTTAGCGAAAGGAAGGAGCAAAAAAACAAATCAAGTGCAAGGTTTTTGATGGTTTGCAGAGATTAGGATTCGAGAGTGAGCAGGGCTAAAGGAATTACGAAATGATTTATCTTTAGCCAAATAATACTTTCAAGGGTACTTCGATGTGTACTATAAATACAGACGTCCCATCAGTTTTTGCCTTGCGCTTTAAGGCCGGATTACACAGCACCGTTTTCTTATATAGCGTTACATTACGGAAGCTTACGTCTCCTTGTGTCAAGAGTCGTTGGAACATCTGCGCTTCGCACAAAGCGTTGTAACCAACTGAGGGAGCGGCGCACATGCGACACGAAGCGCAGGTGTCTAGGCGACTCGCACTTCACGCAAGGAAACGTGAGCAAACGCCCCTGTGGGAATGGGACTTTATTTTGAAAGAAGGTGAAAACAGTTTTCTCTTTTAACTCGGTTTGGAAGAGAAATGTACGTGTGTGCACCGAAACGGGCGTCGTGGCACGGAACGATGCACTCTGCTGACACAAGTCGCACCCCCTAATTCGGGAGACCCTTGGCTGCTACACCGTGTAGTGAGAAGATAGGAGGATCGGGTGTGGGATGGTACACGAAACTAAGATCCGAAGAATCGGTTTCGATATCCACCCCCGTTTGTTCCGACCCGGACGATCATTGCGTACCACCACCATGCATCGCCACTTTGTGCGTCACTAGTGAGCGATACACGTTAAAGACTTCCGCCGGCGGCCGTACCACGCCGGCCGAATCTCTCGTCTACGGTGCAATCTGCTCGTAACGACGCCAAGTGTAACGTTGCGCTGCTCAAGACAATCATCGGTTTCTTAAATCTCGAGACTAGAAGCGCTCGGCTTCTAGTCCGGATACGACGACTGAATTTTTAGGTTTCCTCCTCGTCGTCACGAACTGACTGCACTATATGGCGTAAACCAGTCGCGCCGTACCTAGAAGGCCGACCTACCTCACGCCGTCTGTAGACGCTGACAAGGTGAGAACGGCGGGGGAGGAACTTCGACTGCCCCGCCTCCGGTGCAAGCTTTCTATCTTCGACAACGCTTCAACGTTTTGTACACCTCAAACACGCACACGCGGCCGAGGCATGGAGAGCGCGCACAAGTACGGGCGTTCGAAGGAAATGCCCTGCTGTACTCTTTCTGTCAGTAAACACAAACAAGAAAAACGTTTGATTTCTTTTTAAAATCGGTAGCTGCATAGTCACAAGACACCCATTTCGAGCTACAAGAGGTGTAAACGATGCTTGTCGAGTTGGCAGATAGCCTCCTTTTGCAGTTTAGATTGGTCAGCAGAGACGAAGCCTTTGACTGAAACGGTAGTTTAATGTTAATGTGAAACATTCTTTGGCTAGTTCGTCTGGATTTCGTGAAGCCATGTTTCGCGAAGACGTGGCCTGTGTCACGTCACGCGACCTGAACACCGGTTCAGTTTCCCCGCCGAGCTCAGCGGGAAAAATGATTTTGCGTGACTTTGTGTCACGTGACCTGTACAGAAATTCAGTTGTTTCTCCGCTAGATTTAGCGGGAAAATTGTTGCCACGGGACGTCGACGCCAGTTCGGTTTCCCCGCTAAATTTAATGAAGAAATTGAAGACGCGTGACATGATGTCACATAAACTCAAATTCAGTTTCCCCACTAGATTTTAGCGGGAAAATTTACGTTGCGTGACCTACACATAAATCCAGTTTATCCGCTAAATTTAGCGGGAAAAATGACACGTATCTGGCTGCAGCTTGCCATTCGCCATTCTATGTGGACGCAGGCCGACCCGACGGTGAAAGTCAATGGGGTGGACAGGAGAGGGGACACCTCTCCTGTCCACCCTTGGAAGTTACTACCGCTAAACACAGAGCATTTCACATAGCAACATAAATGAAGGGCAACCTGTCCTGCAAAGTTTGCCTTGCACTTCCATAGTGAGCTAAGAGGAATTAGTGGTAGCTCTAGGATGCCGTTAAAAGACGGAAGACTCCTTTCAATGACAGACAAGGTCAGGCACTTTGTCGGACTTTGCAACCCGGTCCCTCACCGAGCTGCAGCTGCTGCCAGGGGGGCAGAAGGCGCAAGCACTCCTTGAGGCGCCGCTGGAGACTGCCGTAGGCCGTCAGCAGCAACGAGCACAGTTCCCAGTGCACCAGGCAGGCACGCTGAAGGCGGGCAAGCAGACGCCCGGGCGTCTGCGAGAGGCCAACACATGCCCCGTCATCGCAGAAGAATCCTTCTCGAAAAAAACACTTAAGGGGACACACCCCCTAGGAGGGTCAACTTTTGAACCCTTGGCTTAACATTAATGAAATTTACAGGGTAGGCTGGTGGTCATGCTAGAGGGTGCATAACAAAATTTCATGTCTGTCGGTTAAGTGGGAAGGAAATTAGGACAGCTTTTATCAGCAACACGCCTACATTGTTTAGTTAATCTATCATTGGAAAACTATTACAATATTCAAGATTTTTATTTGCTAGATATGTAGCAGAATGCCTAGGAGGTGTGGCTATGGAAAGCTTTTTGTAAAAAGTCATTTATTTTTATAAATTTTCTCTTCCGCAAAATTGGTCAATTTTTGGTCTTCTGTGTCTTTGACAAAATGTCAACATTTTTTTATAAAAGACATCTGTAAAGTGACAAAAACATTCCATAGCCGCATTCCTTATTAAATTTCAGTCAGGAAAAGTGAAGACCGAGCCTTCCCTGTATTGCCATTATCAAACGATAGGTTGACTAAAATGGAATTTACACTAAAAAGTGGAACGGTGAAAAATGTGTTCAAAGTGCTCCAAACCCTACCTTTTCTTTAGCTTCGGTGGACACAAAATAATTTATAAAAAATTAACTATGCAGTGTAAACTAGTGAAACTTTCTGAAAATATTCTCTAGATGTTGGTGGATGTAAATATGTAATTTTTCAAAATCAATGTTTTTTTCTGATTTTTTTCTTCTGGGTAGTGTCCCCCCTTAACTCATAAATAACATGTATATCACAAAAGAAATCCCCACCCACTCAAAAAAGAAAAAAAATTTAGTGAAATATTTGTTGCAAAAACTGCTGAGCTATAAGAGATTCTAAGGCATGTTTCTAAGGCATAGACTTTGAAATAAATGCATGTTTCAGAATGGACCTTTTCCAAATACCGACGGCACCAGGCGGTGGCTGCACGAACTAAAAATTGAGGAAGTGACCTACCTGCGCTACCAATCGATAATGGGAGCTACGCTACCAGTTGCCTCGCTCTCTGAGCAGCGTCGCGTGCCCAACGCGACTTTAATGAGGGAAATCCGTAGCGTCCACCCAAACGTCGTGTTTTTCTTTCCGTCCACTTTCTTTTTTTGTGTAACACAATTATATATATGCTGCAATTACGTGTTCTACTCATCGATCTACAGCCTCATTCCGAATTTCCTCGATTTTTCGTGCCGACTTCCACCGCTTGGCATCGGGCGCTCGCGCGTGCGCAGAACACTTCTCGGAAAAGGTCCATTGCTCAGATGAGTCTGGCAACACAAACAAAGCACTACTACCATAAAATCCCAAGAGATGCCTTACCCCCAAAGGTAACCCGCCCCCTACTGCTCGCTCGATTTCTTTTTTTTTTTTAAACACCGAAAGATAGCCCCCTCCTAGTAATCGCAGTGTTGGGATCAATGATGACCTCGGCGTAAATGCATCTAGTTAGCTTCGGTGAGAAAGCGAACATTGCTGACTGGTAAGTACAGTCATCTTTGCTTTGTTGCCCCACAGTGATTACAAATTTGGCAGGGACATATGATCTTAAGATAGCATTTTTTAATGTTTTCTTGATTGCACACCGAAAGTTGGCCCACTCCTTATTATTACCCAATTTTTTTCTCGATTTTAGCTAAACTATCTTTTAAAATATTATGGTGATTTTTTTTTTTTTTTACTTTTTTTTTTATTTAGTTTATTTTGTGTCATTAGGTGTCCTATCTAGGTACTGAAACAAAACGTCTTCTGGGAGTTCAGTGTTTGTCTAAGTCACATTTATATTTTTCGCCACATCATTTAATCTAGTACTAGTTTTTAAAACATGGACGCTGATAATTATAGAGTCGAATGCAAAACCCACATTTCTTGCCTTCCCGTGAATGGAGGAAAAATCCTGAACGAACGTGTAATCCCAAAGACACCCCCCCCTCTGATCCATCGTCCTTAACGGCTGTCTGCAGAAACAAAAGAAAATCACCGAAACACTGACCACCACGTCAAATTCACGCGACATCCGACAAAATTCCCTCGGTTGTCACGCCCCCTTAAAAAAAATAGTCCTGGGGTTGCTCACTGGATAGATCAGAGGGTAACGCTCGGCCATGCTCCTGACAGGATTAAGCATGCCTTACTGCAATCACGGCATAACTGTAAGATGAATTAAGATGCACTAAAAATACGCGAAACAAATAACTGCTACAAGAGGGTTTCTGAAATTTCGTATTTACTGTTTCTTACGTCAACCCATTATGCTCAAAATATAAAAAGTTGAACTAGGTAGTAGAGAAAAAAGATCCGACGTGTAACCGTCAATGCGCTCATGCAACAGAGAAACCGCAATTGTTGATACAATAGTTGAAAATTTTATTCTGCATCAGCAGGTAAAGGCTTTCAAGATAAGAAGTACAGCACCATGGAAAGTTCTCCATGCCCTTGATTTGCCACACTAGTTCCTGTGCCGTGTGATTTCGTAGCACATGTCCACATATTGGATGTTTCACTTCCATCTAAATGTTAACTGCCGTTTCCCGATAAACACTTTCCCCGAGATTGTTCATCTTCACCGTGAATGGGTATCGGTTTGAAACTTCTATTTCTTTGATACTTCTATCAAAATACAGAAAAACATTCCTGGTTCCTTGCCATGCCCAGAAAGCGAACTCCAGCAACAGCCGGGGCACCGCACACAGACTAAACGCAATTACACTGCACACTAACCACGTGACAATTACGGAGAAATTCTCACTCTAAATTTGGTAGTTGAGAAACTTTTTCGCGAAATTTTGTGGAGAAATTGTTCTGCTAAGTATGGCCATACCTGCCAACCTGTGGACTTTCAAATTCGTAAAAGTCGCGTGGCTGCGGCAAGGGGTGGGGGGGGGGGGGGGGGGGTGACGCGAAGCAATGTGCAGCTTAATGTCAGCCTGGGCAGCGTGCAAAACGCTTACATCACACGTGCACGTGCTACACAATCCAAACTTCTCTCGCTTTTTGGGCGGCACAAAGCACGGAAATTTCGACAAGTAGGACTTTGGAACACCTGAAAGTACCTCTTTTGAGGTTTCGAGTTTGGCATTGCGCCGCGAAGCCAGAGTGACCAGGAGAATGCTACAGTTCTACGTGCAACAAACACAGACGCCATACTTCTCGCCTCGAACTGGCCGAAGCAACAAGGCCCAACAACGTCTGAACACGCCGAACCAACGTGCACCTGTGCACCGCCGAACACACGAAAAAAGTTTTGAGCTTTGGATTGGTTTTCGATCTGTGGCCACCGGATAGACGGAGAGTAAAAACCACAACGCTACTGTGGACGGTACCTATCGCCCTCTTGAGGCGGTGCAAGATACCGCCAACAACGGAGTTACAAAAACAACAACAAAAAAATAATAAAAAATAAAATATATATATATTTTTCGTAAGATCTGAAGCAAGATTCGTAAAATTAGTCCCAATTCATACATTTTACGAAAAATTCGGAAGAGCTGGCAGGTATGGTATGGCGAAGAAATACTATCTCAGTAACAACGACCCTAAAAAAATAACAGACCTGGGGACCCGCCGCAAAACCACGGCAGTAACCGTTGTCGTCGTAAAAGGAGTGCTGCAGCTTGCCACAGTGCTTATTGTAGGGGCACATTGCTGCCCCTGCTCCTTTATCGATGTGAAACAATTTAGCATTCAATTTGTGCGTGGAAAGGTGAGGTAAAAGTCCCACCTGGGGTCCGAAGAACACGCTTTCAAGACTAGCTGACATGGTCTTTCGTGAGGACAGCCTGGGACTGCTTGTGAACCACTGCGCCTTGCCAGTCCTTGCAAAACTGCAACAATGTTTGCACTCGTCAGGCAAAATAGCATCTCATGTGCGGTCGCACAATGGAACCCCTAATTATCGATCAGTTAATCAATCAATCTCGTGTGATGTAGTGTAAAATGTAGTCAAACAATGACGTGCACAGTAAAAATCCGCAACCAAAATGAAGGAAGAACTGCCTTTATTAGAGCACCGCGGTATTACATATAGTAACACACAGCAGCCTACTGAACGATGCACACTGAAGAAAGATTAAAAAAATTACTTAACAGAAGTGGTAATCGAGATAGTGGCCCACTAGGGGCGCTGGTATAAATAGAATGGCCACATTGAAAATGCAGGCCATTCCGCATGCATCCACATAGTGACCCCTACAGTCACAGCTACGAAGTGGCAACATGCAAAAAGAGAAAGCTCTTCTCAAGTTGAAACTACCCCCTTATAGCAAATGCACTCATATGAACAAATCAAAAAGATATGCCTGCACATTTGCATGCTACTTGCTGGCGACAGGTTGAATGCCGTCTGAAGGATCCTTCACATGCATCCTCAAGCATTTGTAATTATACGTAATTGCTCTGAAAGTGCCAAACATAAACTGCACCCATCTGTTCTTGTGTCTCTTGTTCACGACTGTAAGGTCAAAATAACACTTAACTCGTGTGCACACGAGGCCTAGTGCTGGAGATATTTGTGAAATTGACGGCACATAGAACCTAGAATTCAAAGCTCTCACAGCAATTTAAGCAGCTAGCTTGAACGAGTGGACAAAACATTGACAGCATCTGATGATCTACATATAAAGCTGGTAAATTAGGTTAAAAAAACACACGCTAAAATTTACCACCAGGCAGATTTTTTGCTTCTGTTTATGCATACGTGAATGTCTTTCTTGGTCACTGTCATGATTTCTGAATTGTTTGTCCCTAACTTGGCTCGCACAAACCTTGCCATGTCACACCTAAATTTTTCCAGCATGTATTTCTCTATTCCCAGTGAAATATGATTTGAACTCTAAGTCGCAGAAAGTGTCACACCTGGAACCCTGCCAAGACCGTTAGTTCTACACCTCGAGAGACCACATTGCAGGGTGTCATGTAATGCGCGCCTCCCTCAAAAAGGATGTGCAAAACGTGCAGTGCGAGACGCGGGCGTGGGCTTACCCCGGTTGGGATGATGCCAAGACGGGCCCCTTCCTTATGTGTTTCGAAGAGAGAAGGTTACAGAGAGGAAAGTCATTAGCAAGAGTGTACCTCAGACTCCCAAGAAGTATACATGCAAAGAAAAGAACATGTCGGGCCCCGTACACACAAAGGGCATGCAACTCGGCTTACAATCGTGAAAGAAGGAGACGACGAACTGCGCCGCCCAAAACATCTACACGAGCAACGACTCGGAACTACAACAAAGCAAAACTGCAGACGAGTTCCACCTTTCTAGTCTAAAATGCTGCTATAAATTAAGTTTTTGAGCCAATGCAAGCTACAGTACTCATCAAGGTACGAAACACACAGATCTCTTTAAAGTCCTGCATGTAGCAGGAGCGTGCTGCCTTCGATGATGTCTCAGCTGCATCCATACTGTTATCATCCTCACAGACGCCATAACAAAACTGAAGGGCTCGTGATAAAACCTCCTCTAAAGGCTGGTTCTTACATTTTCGTTTGAGTGTGAGTGACGCCATGGCTTGACTGACACCATGGCGAGTGCTTATGGCAAGAAAGCACACCGACGCCATCGTATGGGGTAGCTATGAAACACTTCTGACCCGCATGTATTTCATCCGCAGTATGCTTGAAATAATTCTTACCGTTAACAAAATACCATTTCCGATAGGTAGTGCTTAGATTTGGTCTCACAAATACCCACGAAACCTTCGTTCTGCACTCGGCGTCGGTTATCTCGCGCTACGTTGTCGACGCCATTACGTGGCCTCCGCAGTGCTCCGACGCATCTCCTTTGCACAACGGCGAACGCAAATGAGGCTCAGGTCAGGCGCTTTCGCAGCAGTGCAGGGCTGATGTGCTCCAGAAGCTACAGTGGCACTGACAACGCAACAAAAAATGGTCGACGCCGAGTGTGCCGTAAAATCCCGAGAGATGCCCCAAACCCCGAAGAGGTCCGGCTACGCCGAATCACAACCGGCTGTGCATGAACACCGTATCGCCTGGCCCACTTCGGGCTACGTTCGCCAGAACATGCAATATTCGACCGGTGTAGTTCGACCCCTACATCGCCACCTCAAGCCAATCAAACCGCCGGGCTAATCCCCAATACTTCCATTAACACCCAGTCCTCAGCGCATCTCGCCACCCTGCGCCACCTGCTCTGGGAACGCCCGGCAAGGCGAAAGGAGAGGGACATAGCACTCGCGCAGCTCGGTCCACCACCACAATTGACGTTCGATGCCTGGACAGCACCGACAGGTCCCACAGACGTCAAGAGGTGGGTCTTCAACTCACTCTTGGCTTACGTGAGGACGGCCGGTCTGGCCGGCCTTCTGTAAGCCCTCTCCCCCTCCTTCCCTCGCAACCCCTCTTCCATTTCTGCATCCTTACACCCTTCCCCTTCACGACAAGGCATGACACCGGTCGCGTCGTACTCCTTCTAAATATGAATAAAACGTATCCAACAACAACAACAAACCCCGAAAGCTAACCCGCCCCCTATTTTTGGCTCGATTTGCTATTTTCTTTTAAACACCGAAAGATAGCCCACTCCTAGTAATCATAGTCTTCGGATCAACTATGACCTCGGCGTAAATGCGTCTAGTTACTTACAGCGGGATATAAGCGAGCACTGTTGACTCTGAAGTACGGTCATCTTTGCTTTATTGCCCCTCGACGCGATAACATGTTTGACAGATACACATTACCAAAAATAGCATTTCTTAAAAACTTTTCTGTACTGCACATTGAAAGTTAGCCCGCTCCCTATTTTCACCCGATTTTTCTCTCAAGTTTAAACAGACCATCTCTCGCGACATTACAGTAGCCGCACACGGGATGGAAACAATCCGGGGCCACCGGATAAACTGCACCGGCACGCGCCCTTTGTTCTCCGGTCGTAGGCGGCTACGGGCGGTTGCAACGCGGCTGATCGCATTATGGTGACCGGGACGCGCCTCCGCCCGATGTGATTGGCGTCTCGTTCCGCCCACAAGTCGAAAGCGGTCTCAAAGTGGCAACAAACGACGTCAAAAAAGCCGGAGCGTAGCGCCGTTGGATGTAGCGATCTATTCCTTCGGCCGCAGATGATCTGGCAAAAAGCACGAGCAAACTTGAGCGTCACCGTCGTCGCGGCGTCCCAACTCCCGGCTGCCAAAACTTCCGCGGACCGTCAAGCCAGAAAGCGATTTGCTTGAGGCAGAACGGGCGTCTGCCACATCCAGGACCGCCGCTGCGACGCCGCCAAGGTCGCGACCGGTGAGGGCACAATGCCTCTACGTCGTCGTCGGGCGGAAATGGAGGGACCACATTTTTGGGCGCAGTAAACACACGGGCAGGAGACGCATTCCGCGCTCCCTAGTATCGGTAACCCATTCTTCAACTTGCCGGCGGTGCCAACATCTCGGCGCTGGTGCGGAGTGCGTGCAATCGGTGACCGTTACGCTCCGAAAAACGCGATTTCCTGGGGCTTTAGATGACGTCGTTATGCATTGTCATGGACTGTTCTAACATTTCCGGAAGATGCAACGACATCTCCAACAATTTTGAGCGCCGACGCGGCAGAAACGTCATCACTCCGGGACGTAACTTATTTACCATAACGTCTCGAGAGATGTCCCACCTAAAATCGATTAGCAAATAGGATTAAAGTAAGGGGTAAACTAACTTTAAATGTGCCATAAAAAAAAAAAAGTTGAAAAAATGCTAGTTTTAGATATATGTGACCTTCGAAACTCTCGATCGCAGACAGGGTTGACGAACCGAAGACTACCGTCCTTCTCTGTCGGCAACGTTCGTTTATCTCCCTGTGGCAACGTTTTTGCCAAGGTCACCGTAGGCCAGGGCCCTGCGATTACTAGAAGTGAGCTATCTTTCCGTGTTTCTGAAAAAAATAGCAAATCATGCCGAAAATAGGGGGCAGCTATCTTTTGGGGCTAGGCCATCTCTAGGGATATTACGGTAGTTACCTTAAGCAAACCTAGTCCCACATAATCCTTTCCAAAAAGCCACGGAAAAGATTGCTGGCGTACCTGAGGTAGGGCTGGCACAGGGCAAGTAGCGAGGCGTGGATTGTCACCGACACGGCAGAGAGGTGGAAGTAATCGAAGAGCACGGGGATATGGTGGTGGAGGCCACGGCTGGGGTCCAGGTGCAGGGTCAGGGCCCTTGTGCTGACGCACTGGATCGTCTTGTGGTGTTCCGGACTGGAAGTCCAGGGCGAAACCACAAGCGGGACTCAGTCGGGACGGACACAGCCGCGCTGCTCATTCGTCGTACAAAAGAGGCAGTGTTGGCCGCAGACAAACGACAGAATTGCCCGTGGACACGCCTCACGCACGTTCAAAGCATGTATGCTTCACATGTGTATGCTTTAAACGTGTCTAAAGACAGTTTTGTACGACCAAGGACCGTCATAAAAGAAACATGCCTAATACAGCGTCTGCAGACCATCTTTTGTACGACGCATAAGCAGCGTGACCACGGCTTACCACTTTCGGGAGCGCACATTCGAGGATGTGGCATGTGTACCATGTTTTCCTATGTATAAGTCACATTTTTTTTCCACACTTTTTTGCGGCACATTTCAAGCAACAATGTGACTCGTACGCATCTTCTTTTTTTTTAAGTAGTAACCTTGAATGCACAAATATTTAGTGTTGTGCAAATATTTGAATTTTCGAATACATAGTAGTTTCGAATAGTACTCTATTCGATATTCGCTTCGAGAGCAGTTGTAATATTCGTGCTTTTCGAAGTGTTCGCAAACTCACGGTCGCAAGTTTGTTTACTGTCTAAAGACCAGAAAGAAACAATATCTAAAATCAAGAATATAGTCACACGTTTAGCAAAATGGTATAAATATTATGGTGGGAACTTTGAAATATATTCATCGCAATCATTTCATCAACTTTTTTTAATAACGAACAAAAAAAAACGAGCAACGAACTCCAGAGACGCCGGCACCATCTTTGCCAATCTTGCCGGCCTGGTTGTCAGCACTCTTTTCTTACCACCGTGACCACGTCCAGACATAAATTTAGAAAAACAAGTTTAGGATAAAAATAAATACCTTTAGAAATTTCTCATAACATGCATAATTGCTCAGAAACTTTTATTTCCGATAAAACTCATAAACACGGTTTCAAAACATTTAAACTATAATATTTTGAAGGAATATTATATTACTACAGCGACAAGGCAAGTGGATGACATTGACATTGTCAAAATGACGGCAGCTAAGTCGGTTGGCAAGATGGACTAACGGCAGGCGTGAGAAGTCGAGTTTGGAAGTATTTCTAAAAACTTCCCTCTTAAAACTTCCAAGTTTTTTTAAAGGCAAGTATTCAATATTCGATTTGAAAATATTCAACCAAAATCACTATTCGCTTCGAATTCAATTCAAACTCAAAATCCACTATTCGCACAACCCTACAAATTTTCCATGGGTGTCATACTTCTCGTTGCATTAATTGGCGAGAATGTTGAAATTTGCTCCCCCTTCTGCATATATCGAGATTGGAATACAGGTATTCAGGCCCTTCAATGCAGTTTTGCCGCACCAACCATACAAATATGTAAGTGCGACTGTACCACCGTGCAACTTATAGACAGGAAAGTAAGGTGCATGCAATATCCTCACCCACTTAAAACGAGGAGCGAATTGCATGTAAAAGGGGAGTGGGCTAATTTTTGAGATGTAGAGGTACATGTTCTTCAGAATACTTTCTTTCTGCACAAAACCTTGACTTGTCAGAACACCGCTCCAACTTCTCCTCTGCTGGTTTTTTTTTATGGTTTTCGGCACACAAAATAATGCGTACTCCGGCTCAGGAATGCCTAGAAAGTCAGAATGACGCTTTCCAGAGATGAAACGTCGCTGTAGGAGCTCAAATCAAATGACACAACATCATCCACAGCCCTCACTGCTGCTGCTATCATCCAGCAACAAAGCAGCAAAAGCAGATAAATCACGCGATTGAAGCCATTATTGTAGCGGTCCCCCATGTCTGCAGGACGGCTCGCTCGACAAGTGCCACCGTCGTGCAGAGATTTATTTTCGATAGTTTGCCAGCTTGGGAGAAAGCACAAAAACAAAATCGAATTGAAGCAGTAGCTCTTCGGCTATCCACAAGAGGATGCGATGTGTTCCTGCGCTACAAATTTGAATTTTGGACAGTGAGCGAGATCCGTCGATTACGGTTGATCGACGGCCAATGGGCATGGTGCAGAAAGAGTTAAGGGGGAAATATGGAGAGACGGGTAGAGAAAAGTATGCGGGCCTTGTACGTGAACACTCCCTAGCAAAAACCAATACATGAAAACAAGCTCCAATTCCTGTCCTATGCATTAGTGTGAAGCGTTGGTGTTGAGAACTACCTTGTGAACGAAAGTGAAGAAATATTTCATGGTCCCCCTAAGCAGCTACTGCAAGTGGCTTCTCCATTATGCAGCCGTACAAATATTTACAATTCTTCTCTCTGTATTGTGCCTTTGATGGTCATGCAAATTCGGCTATTGCGGGATGGCTTTTGCTCACCTTTATAGACAAAAGCACTATAGAAACTAGTTCAACGGAGGTTAAAACTGCACCACAAATACATAGATTTCATGTCCTATGAAGAATCAAGCATTATAATATTGCCTTTCCATAAACTGTATGCACCGTGCAGGAATTAAGTTCTTGGAAAACTATGAGACAAAATGCTACCCCATAGCTAGAGAAATTCCTTTATTAAACCCTTGACAGTCTAATTTTTTGGGAACTTATGATCCTGAACTGCTTAAGGGGGGACACTACCCAAAAGAGTGGATGTTTGAACCACTTGTTTGATTTAAATTAGATTTACAGGGCTTGTTTCTGTTAATGTTGAGTACATTTCTGCCAAATTTTATTAACCTGGGCGATGTACAAAAAAAAAATTGCAAATGTTCAAAGATGAAAGTGGGCATTTCCGCGTAAGAAAACTATCGTTTTGAAATTACTTTTAAATTTGTCATTTTCATGTGTTATATTGCTTTAGGACAGTTCAGAGCAGATAACTATGGAGCTATATTTCTATATTATACCATCTTTCATAACAGAAAGGCCAGAGAAACACAAACACTGTTATTTAGATTTCCATCCTTTGTCCAAAAGTTTAGTTCTTGAGCATGAAAAATGACAAAAATAAAAAATACAAGCTCATAGTTATCTTCCCCTTCAAATTTCACCCCAGAAAGACTTCTAAAAGTGAATCGAAGTTATGTAAAAACAAAACGATAGTTTTCCTAAAGTTAAATTTCTGCCAAAAACTGGAATGGAGAAAAATGCATTCGAAGTGCTCCAACCTCTACCTTTTCTTTGCCATTGGTGGACCAAAAAAAATATATGAAAAATTAATTAGGCAGTGTAAACTAATGAAACTTTCTGGGAATACTCTCTGGATGTTGGTGGATGTAAATATGACATTCGTCAAAATCACCTTTTTTTTGCAGAAACTGTTTTTTCTGGGTAGTGTCCCCCCTTAATTGTTGTCTTCAAAATTACATTTGTCACTTTCAAAGTTAAATTTCTAGCCACGAACAGAATGTGAGAAATAATTTTAAAAATTCAGCGCAGCCATTTGTTGGCACAGCAGCAAACTAAGCCACGAGCGAGCCTGGTCTGTCCAAAACGGTTGAGTGCATGAACCGGAGAAAGCGGACGAGCTACACTCATCCTGAGCGGTTTGGCGACGGCTTCATGTTGATGAGCTAGGTTCATCCAAATGGCTAAAGGGTTAATGGATCATCTAAAGGGCAAGCCAATGCCCGCATTTACGAACTAAAGGAGAAAATGACAATAAACACAAAAGAGGCCAAACTAAAATCAAAGTCTTTATTAGGAGACCAAAAAAAGAAGATAAAATGTTAAGAGGTAAAATTCAAACAAAAGGAGTACCTGCATGCAGGAAGTCCATGATTATAAATGGAAATCAAACTGAAGTTACGGAAGATTCTAACCCCAACATGAAACATTTTGCTGTCCAAAAGATAGTTAAGTAGAGATGCGGATGCAGGCGCTAGGACGGGAAAATTATAAAAGGAAGCAAAAAAATAACATTTCTGGAAACTAAAGGAAGTGTTAAGCCCAAGTGGGACAGCACACATGACTACAGGGCGAACCCCCCCACCCCCCCCCCCCCACCCCCCAAAAAAAAACATTAAGCGTTTTCTTTGTTGCTAAAATAAACTATGCATCGTCGAACACAAGGTCTCTGCCCAAATGGAGTGCCAGCAGTCCGGAGCAGATGCCAAGTTTCAGCGCTTACCATTATCTGCCTGAAAAGTTATAAGCAATCTTTGAAACTTTTCAAAAGGAAACGGCAGCCATAAAAGCCCATGAATACATAGAGATCAATGGCATCACCTACCAGAAACTGGCCCCCTTTCCCCATTGAAGCTTAAACAAAATATCCTCAATAACTTTTGAATAAGACAACAAGTAGTTCCGAAACTTCGGCATGTGGTCTGGAATGCTAGCGCTGTATTTGGGCAGAGACTGAGTGTATTTATTTCTGCAGTGAGAGAAACTCTGCATTTTTTTCGGGGATACACTGTACATTGTTTTGGTCCGCAAAGAGCAGATTCCTATTCGTCTCGAGATTGAACCGTGTCGCCACAGTGCGGCCGAAATAGGAAACATGCGAAAGCGGGGATACCACCGTGAGTCGTCCGCTATGGACGCACAATCAGAAGCATGTACCTGGACAACGCAAGCCCGTTCCCGGCTGAGCTGTACCCTCTTTATTAAATGTTTGGTGTTTTTGTTGTTTCTTCTTACTAAAGGTTGTGGTGTATCGTTTCACACGCGTGGGAATTCAGCAAAGCGATAGATATTAAGTCGGATGCTTTCATAATCTTAGTGCTCTAGTTTGTAGAACCTTTGGTCCTACATATTTTTGTTATCTTGCACAATCCATAGCTTTTAGGCAATGCTCTTTGTTGTAGCAGCGGGTTCATTAACAAATTAACCCGACTGATCGCCACCCTTTAATAGACTTATCCAGTGGTTCTCATGCATCGATGTTTCACAAACCGCTTGCGGATCACCGGAGATAAAGGAGGACCCCGTTTGTGGTGAGGACAGGGGGAAGGTATAGGTTGAATAAAATAATGATACAATAAATGAATTTGACTAAGGGCTAGTGTGAAGTAGACTTCTCTTATTGACAGACACAAAAGAAAACTCGCCTAAAAATGAAAACAATTCCTTCTTGACCTTAAAAAGACTGAGGTACACCTAAGCACTTCTTATGAGTTGTAAATGCGAAAGCATGTACGCGTGTTGTCCTTTGTGTGTTGGTGCGCTGACTGGCGCGGACTAGAGTTCCTGTATAGGCTCCCTATGGGAGCCAGAGTTGCGCGTCTGTTTTCCACGTGCCGCCGCGCCGCTATTCGCCGAGATCCGATCATGTGAGGAGCCGGATCAAGTGCCGTGCGGGAAAGTACAGTGCAATCCACTTATAACGATAATGAGAAAGCCCCAAAATTCAATTGTTATAACCGAGTATTGTTGTATCTGGACTAGAAGCTGGGCGTTTCTGGTCTTGAAACTCTAGAAACTGATCGCTATAATTGTACTGCATTAGAATGGCAATCTGGGCTAGTTGGTTCACGTCTCCTTTCCTGTATCTTGTCCTTGTGTATTTTCGGCGCCCTGAAAGTGATCGCTATAAGCAGTACATCGTTATATCTGGTATCGTTATAAGTGGAGCGCACTGTAAATGAACGTGCCCCGGCGTACGTTCGTAGCGCAGCGCCGCTATTCGCTGAATTCAATCACGTGAGGGGCAGGATCAACATGCCATGCAGGAAAGACGGCACTACGGGGACGAACGCGAAACTCTCGCTCCCGTAGGGAGCCTATGCAGGAACTCTAGCTCTGACAGAAATGCAGCACTATAAGGTGACCGGTCGTTGAAACTGACATGCAGCGTCAGTTTTAACGAACAGCCACCCCATGGCGTTGCGTGTCCAGCGATTGGAGCTTGGTTGGCGCGCACTAGCCAATGGGATTGCAGCGGAGCAAAAGGTGCCGTTGGCTGTGGGCGCGCACTAGCCAATGGGATTGAAGAAGTGTAGAAGAGCTGTTTGGCGTGGTTTCAAAGCTGACGACGTCGGCTCGCTCCAAGAGAGAGTTACTGCTTTTGCATTAAGCCACCTTTTACTGTTGGGCTTGACTGATCACATAGGGTTTTGCGGACCCCTAGAATGCCTTCACAGACCCCCATTTGAGAACCACTGGACTAATCAATCAACAAATCTGTTAACTGATTATTCTGCAGTCATATTACATGAAAGACATTAAACTATACATTTGTTTAACTATTTTTACTACGTCATAAATGGCCTATTGCATTTTCATATTAAACTTCACGTTAAGATGCCCAAAGAAATATGAACATGGAAAGCCTTTTAAAGTGAAGTAATTTTTAAGTTATTATCTAAACAATATAATCACCCTCGATGACAATCACAAGCATGCTGAAGTGGTTTACTGTGCAAGCCTGTGTCCTAAAAGAAAGAAATATGTCAAAAATATTAAAGCAGATATTTGTTACTTTTTCCTAAATTTCTCCAGTACAAGATTCCAATTAAACAACAAAATGAAATATCTCAGTTAAAGCATCACTCGAATAACCTGAAGGTTAATCGATGAACAGATTGTTCCCAACATGCGTTAGATGAGGACAGAGGGTGATCGAAAAGTCTCATGAAAGTTGCTAGCCCTATCAGCAAGAGCGTCGCCGTGGCTGATGCTGTCTGTGTCGTGGTGTGGGTCGTTTGCTGGAGTTGCAGATAATACTATGCTTGAATAGAAGATTATTTAGCTATAAATTTATGGCTCTTGACATCCACGGCCCTCACCGAGAAAATTAAAGCGGGTGACCGTACACTACCAAGAAAAGCATCAAATAACACGCACGCTCCTGCGTTGCTCGGTTTCACTCGTTTGTTCCACTCACGGCAGATATATTAGAATAGTTTGTTTCACTTGTTTCAGTTGTCCTGCAAATGAGCATTTTCCGGAGCATAACTATATGAGGTACTCTCTCCTCATCGCAACCCAGTAGAATTGTTCCGACTCCGAAAAACTTACCCACACCATGGTAGAGTGAAGGGAAACATTGGCTGCAGCAGAACTCATTAATAGCACGGTAATTTTCAATACAGCACTAACTTTTCTTAATGCAAAATATTTATATTACTGCAAAAGCTAAAAGTTAAAAAAGAAATGCATAAAACCTGCAATTTCAGAGCCCACAATACCAGCATTATGTTATTCAAGTTGGAATTCAATGTTTTGTTGAATTCCTAAGCTGGAGAACCGATTTATCTATTTTAAAACAAAAGTATTTAACATATACAGTGCACTTCACCCGGAGACAGGCATCCGTCTTGGTAATCAATGCTTCCCAACGTCTGCCTAGGCTGTACGCTGGTAACACGATTCAATCTTCAGTAAATCACCGAACAGTACAGCACCATTTTCCACTAAAATTGTTTTTTCACCGATGCTATGCGACAAAATAAATGCAAGGATCTACACTGTCTCACGCACGAACGTGGAGCACCTATGAGACAGCCATGCTCCTATCCCCGCTTTGATGGTGATGATAGTGCAACAGTAACACCACCTCTAAGTCGAACTCGAGGCCAATAGCTTTTTCACGTTGAATTAAAAGTGCAATCTTCTCAACTTCATCTTCTTTAATAAGTACAAAAGCACGGTCACAAGCGTCATACTCTCATGAATGGATTCACAAAATTTGGGGTACTCTTTCCCCAAGGGGGCCTTAATGTTGTTACGCATTTTTTTTTATTGGGTTCAATAGCTAGGAACTAGTTGGCTGTAAAGTAGGGGAACTTCTATCAAATGTTTGAGTGGCATGCTGCCTGTTTATCTACTATAAATGAGTCACTGGTATAAAATTTTCATCATTAGAATGATGACACATGGTGAACACCAAAAACATCACTGCATTTAAATAAGATTACTGTTTAAAAAAAAAATAACAGAGTTGTAGTGGTGGAAGGAATTAGACTAATTTCGATGTCATAAATACTATGTAGAGGCAGTCAACTTACCCAAAATTTTGGTCTGTAAACCATAGCTCTACAGAAAGAAGAAAATCTGTTTTGGAGAGTGTTTCTCGTATCTGAAACAAAAAAAAAAAAAAGATTACGAGAAGATGAAAGAAAAGCTAATACGATTTCCAGAGAATCTCGGATTGACCAGTGTTATGCACGTGTGCATAATATACACATATTGTGAAGTTCTTGCCAAATTTAAACACTTTGAGTCACAGACAGTCATTGGCAAATATCAGACAAGCAAAGGCATACAGTAGTTATGCTTAAAAGGGACACTGACAGCCCCCCAAATTTTTTTTTATTTTTTGCCACATGAATATTACACAATCAATATTTTGCTACAGAGTCACATATATTTTTATTAAAGTAAAAAAAAAAATGCAGCTGCTAGAAAACCGAAACTGAACTGCGGAGGAAGAAGAAACATAGAGGAGGAAAGAGTTGGCAGAAATCACGTGGCTGTGCAACTTTTGATCATATTTGGTGGTTACGTCTAAGTCACAGAAAACGGCACATGACCACGGAGAAGAGAGTGAGCACGACTCAAACTGGCCAGTTCTCAGTCGGCAGTTTTCGAGGGGAAAGAAAATAAATTTGAAGCCGCGAATTGTTTTCTGGTTAGTTGGGCTCTCAAATGTCATGTACAAATAAAAACCTTGGCAAGCATAAATACCCTGTCGGTGTCTCTTTAAATGCCACAATCTCTCAGAAAGGTTTTTCATATTGAGCTGGTAGACACAATAAGCTGACAAAAACCAGCAAGAAAAAGAACATCTTTAGGAGAGCACAGTACTTTCACTTAAAGGGGCTAGGACACGAAAATTAAATGGATAATTATTCTTGAAATAAAACTCATAGGCTACTTAACACCAAGTTTTTGGATTTTTAGAGTTTTAGTAATTTCAATAATGAATTTACGAATTTTGATCATTTTCATCTGGTGACAAGAAACACTGTCCAAGTTAGTCACACCATGGTGCCCATAAACCCCGTGATCACGAACACTCTCTCATTCTAGGCGCCTCCATGATCACCCAAGCTCGCCTTGCCGCAGAACAACCAAAACCGCTCACGCAACTCGGCAACCCCAACGCTATTCTCACTCTCGCCCCCGGCCCTCTGACCTTCCACCCTGCATGCACCTGCGGGATTGACCCGGACAACGGCTACCACAGGGAGTTTGTCCATGACTGGCCGTTGCTGGAGCTGGTCGCCAGCGGGTCGCAGTCAGAAATAACAGCTTTAAACATCTCTTGAAAGCAATCATTCTCATTGCAGCTGCAACCAGTGTCAAAGACTTTGACTAAGCGAGCGATGCCGTAATCGTCACAGACCGTGTGCTCAAAACGCGGAGAAAGTAAACAAGGAGGCTGAAGCTCGAGACGCCAAGAGAGCCAAGACTCTGAGTGCATGCAAGGCGATGCAGCGCGCTTGGCTGTTGGACGTCACCAGCCCCCCAGCTACGGCGGTCTTTTCGAATGGTGCGGTTCCGAGGGCCCCGCATATAAATCGATTTATCCACGAAACTATGGCGCCATTTTCCAAACAAATTTAGAAGGACTATAGGAATATACAATGGGTCCTAGGAGTATAGTTATCTCATATTTTATTTTTGGCATGTCCTGACCCCTTAAAGGACACATGCAAAGGACAAAAACATTTTTTTTTTAAACAGCTTAGATGAAAAAAGGTAATCGTAAAACAATTTAACAATGAAGAAAAAAAATGTTTAGATCTATATTTACGGCGCTGTACAAATTTGTAGTTGGCGGCCCCGGGCGCCGCGGAAAAGTGGCCCTTTTTTATCACGTGACTGGTCTTTATTTATCACGTGGTGCTTGCGCTCGTTCGGAAGCTTCCTATGGCCTCTAAAAGTAGCTTATTCATATTTGTTTGAAGTATAACCAAAAACTAAGGTTAATAAGTAACTTTTAGAGCCCAAAGGAAACTCGTGAAAAAGCGCAAGTAGACGCGATAGACCTGTGCGCCGGTCAAATGACGGCGGCGGCGGCGCCCCGAAGCAGACAAACTTGTGCGGCGGCAGCGATGGCGGCATGGAGAAACGCGTTGAAGCGGCGTTGCATAACGCTCAGCGTGAGACGGCGGCAGCACGACTTTGCGACGGTGGCGACGCTAGCACGGCAGCGCACAGGCCTACCATGTGACCAGTGGGGGCTCCCGCGGGTGCCAACTACAAATTTGTTTTGCGCCGTAAATATAGCTATAAATTTTTTTTTTTCTTCGTTGTAAATTTGTTTTATAATATTCTTTTTCTAATTAGCAATTAGCTGTTTAAAAAAAAAAAAAAAGTTTCCTTTGCATGTGTCCTTTAAGCAATTAATAGAAATCTGTTTGGGTAGACAAGAATACTCAGAAAGATTAACCACCATCCAGCAAAAATCAACAGCAAGTGCTGCTATTCTGATTAAGTGCCTTGGTATGTTAATATATTTGATTAGAGTATTACTTTACTATAACTAAGTAATTGCATTGTGGGTATGTTTAGACACTAAGAAGTTAGTTAGCCCGAAACAGTATCTGGTGTCTTTGCTGTAGAAGAGCAATATAACCAGTGCAGTACAACTGCTAGCCTGTGGTCTTTAACGTGCATCACGCAGTAGTGATACACGGCCACACGCTGGTACAATGCCCCTACAGATTGAAACAAGCCGGAGCAGGGACTGAATATTTTTCTATGAAAAAACAAAGAAAACATACCCTGTGGCCATCAACAAGAGCATGGACCTTGAATGTCACAGTGTCGTTGAGGTGCACTTCTTCGTTCTTGTACAAAATTTGGAATGTCTTGCTCACGGCAGTGCCGTTGACTACGCAGGCGGGAAATACGATGGGTAGGGCTGAAAGCGAGGTAGAGAAAAGTGATACTTAAGTCACAGGTCCTCAGGAAACACAAAACAGCCAACCAACAACATTCTGCTCGGAGCCCATGAAAACGAGAGAAGTGGTGTTTGATCTTGGCAAGCTGTCGGCTTGTCCCTATTCCTCAAATGTGCCAAAATAAAGAGGGCCACACTCACCGCTGCTGTCAAACAAAGAAAACCAGCGACTTCTTGTTAAAGCTTTCATGGAAAACAAAAAGTAAAAAATGCATCTTCTTTTCTTTCAAAAGCCGCTAATGTTGAGAGAATTGGGCGACAGAGCTCAATTTCAGACAGAAAAACGCATATGCCCACAAAAAAAAAAAAAAACTTTGGAAAGCTTCAATGCATAGACGGAGGACGTTGCATCAGGAAAAGTGGTTACGAGCAATGCCATATTCGTAAAAATGGCTGCGATCAGCAGATTGTGGCTGCATAATATATACCTGCTGTCGCAAAAAAAGGTCACAATCGCACGTTGAAATTTGCTTAGAAGGGCGACGGAAGGAGCCGTGCCTTAGGTTCTTTTGGGTTTCTAAACTAGGTGGCGCAAGCTACCATCTGCTATAAAGGGTACAGCCATTATCAGCCATCCATCCATCTTTACAACGGTGCCTGGAATACGTCTTCCACTGGTGTGTCTACAGTCTAAACCTGTCCGTACATCGAACGCAGCCCTGAAGTGACAACAAACGATGTTGCAGAGGCTGGCACATCATGTTGTTAGACGTCACGATCCTGGTAGTTAGTGCCAGAAGTCCCGGCAAAAGGTATGAGGAACGCGAGTGTCGCAGTCGTCGAGGGGTCTCAGCCTGCAGCAGAATAGGCACCTGCCGCATTTACAACCGCCGCTGTAATACCTCCAGGATCGTGATTGGCCGCTAAACGCTTCTACGACGTTATCAGGTAGAAATCAGCCGGAGACACACTCGAATCACCATAGTGATGCTGACCGCGTAAAAATCATGCTCCAGGCTTTATGTAAGCGAACCCGACTTCTAGTTGATTATAAGCTGTACTTTCGGCAAGGTAAGCTGAATACATGGTTAGAAGCTGCACTTTCGTCTGCACACGTCCAACCAAAGTGTAGCCCTATTCAAATGCTCGATGGCTTCGTTCGAGCATTTGACAAGGGCAAGAGGCTTACCGTATCCTTGTATTAGAGTGTTCCTAGGTAGGTTGACCTCGACTTTCGCTGGCAGTCTTTGCGGCACCTTGAGCGATGTCCTCACTTGGTAGTAGCTTTAAAAGAAAAACACTTACTGATTGGCACTCGCGACACCGGCGTGCAAATGACATCAAGCACACGAAAATCGCGATCTGGAGTCTTTAAAGGAGTCATGAAACGCTTTTTCAACTTTTTTTTGTTTAGCTTTCCTCCTCAACTCATAAATCGCGCATTGTACCAAACAGTTCAAGAAGTCGGAAAGAAGGGAGTCCCCTCTTGCTCGGAATCTCGCTTGTGTAGCCCGGACACAGCCATTGTCCCCCTAGAAGATTAGCCCGTCGCTCAAAATTCCGACTAGTTGCTTTCCCCACCCCGTTCACCCCGAAGCCGACAGTGCTGTGGAAGCTACGTGCTCGTTGGGCCAGCCACACCTTTTCCACGTGATCACGCCCTCTCGCGCATACCGACCCGCAGAGAATGAGGTCAGGTGATCAAAGGGAGGCGGCTGATTGGTCCGGCAAGCGCGTAGCTTCCACCGCAACGTCAGCTTAGGGGTAAAGGGATTAAGTGAGGTCCGGAGTCGTGTGACGTGCGCTTGGGCCCTGGTGACGCGCTGCGGGGGCCCGGTTATGGTGGCTAGTAGCCCGGTGACGCGCTGCGGGGTCCGCGGATGTATCACAGTGAAAAGGCGGAGAGTTTACGAAGGGACGGAGGTACGAAATAGTCCGCTATGTTTTGCAAATTTTTGTAGCGAAAGTCAGGCTTCTGACTTTCTACCTTTGTTCTTTTGGCCCACTGACCGATATGCTATTAGTAAAATCCCAATATAAATTGATTTACTCCAGCCCAAAATTCGTTTCATGGGTCCTTTAACCACAGACCCAATATGGTAATGTGACAATAGCGCTATTATGTCTATGCCGTCGACGGCAAACTTACCCGCGTTGAAAGAGATCTACATTGCTGAATTTGAATAGCTCAACGGAGAACTCCAAGGTCACTTGGAGCTCTGTCATTCTCGGCAGCCTTTACAGTATCTGTTGGTCCTGAAACACAAACGCAGAGATATGTTCCAAAACGATTACTTTTCACAAGTGCATCCAACTTACGTAACGATAAGGGGGGGGGGGGGGGGGGGGGGGGGGAAGAAAAAAAAGAGTGAACAAGCAGAAGTTTGGAAAGATCACCATAAAAATTCAGTTGCAGCAGAGTACAATTCCACTCTTCCAACGTGCACAATGAGGCGGGGAACCAAGGTCGGATCGGTGCAAAGTATCAGTTTCCAATGCAAGTGACATTTGTCGGAGGAGCTCCTGATGCCTGCACGGTTGTGGTAGTTGGAATGGAAGGAACGTACGTTTGTTGAGACTTACCGTGACAGGGCCTTAAGAAACGACATCGTTCTGAGTTTCTCCAGCGCTTGAAGTGCCAGAGATGCAGTGGTTCTGTGTCGAATTCCCGGCGAAAATTGGATGCAAAAAATCATTAGGCCTAAGCCTGTAGTCGGCCTCGAAGACCGGAGCACAACGTCGGCCCCTAACAGCCATAGCCCTAGAAATTCACGGCACACTGTGGAGCGGTGAATACTTTCACAAGCATCGGCACGAACGCGCAAACAGTTCTCAGAAGCCAGAGACACAACACATTTCAAATCTTTCCGATAAGACGGCCGTAGCCGCGACCAGAGCAAGCCGCCATTTTTAAACACCCGTGTGATCCCGATAACGATAGACTAGGGACAACTCAGTAGGTCAGTCACCACATCACCACGCAAACGCGGTGCGGACCAATGTGGTGCCAACCACTGATCTCAATGACAATTGCTGGATCGCGCTTGCCGCTCCCGCAAGTGAAGCCACCGGGCCTCACTCGCTTGGGATACGATTTGCCGTTTTTGCTAGCCTTTGCTGCGGTTTTCCAGCGTGCTGACGACACGTTTTCTAGTCGTTCGTCGTCATTCGCCGAAGAAGTTTTTTGAAGACTCTGTGTATTGTTGAGACTTGCCGTTGTGAACACGTGGAAAAGTTTACGAAAGTGCAGTGTCGCAGGAAAAAGGCACAACGCGTCGAAAGGAAGGGCTGGCGGCGTGTTCAAAGCATCCTTGGCACGCCGAAGTGCCGTGTCTCTGTGCCTTCGCGCGCTTGGATACCGACCAAGAACCGACGCCGTGTGAATGTGTTTAGCGAGTGCAATGTGCGTGAAGCCGTATCAAAAGGTACAACTCGTCGAAAACGTGTCGCCGGGGGTCGCGGCGTGATCAAAGCTTCCTTGGCACGCCCAGTGATGCATCTTTGCGCCTTCGCACGCTTGGATACCGGTCAAGAATTGACGCCGCGCCAAAGTTCTGAACGTGTGTCGCGCGTAGATGCCTTTAGATCATTTATATATATCGGCCACGGAGTTCTGGATCGTCCAGCTGTTCCGGTGAGTTGCTATCAATAAAAGGGGGAGATCTGTACGTGTTCTTATGTACTATATTAACCATGGCTGTGTTTCAAATCTACTCTAATAGATTCCGTGGGAGCACGAATAGGGCAACGTTGTGGAGCCAGGGGGGTTTTTGAAAGCAAAAGTACAAGACGGCGAGAATGAAAATCTTTGAAGCGCGGCCGATATGAACTGTAGAAGGGTGTGTACTTGGGCTAGTTGGTTATTCATGAATAGGAGGTAAAAGCGCTAAAAAACGACGGACAAGTTGAAGAATGACGAACACCACAGAGCGCTATACCGATATGGTCGTGTGCAATCTGTTGACCAATTACAATTAGGCGAGCCGCGCTCAAACGTCAAGTGCAATTAAGTATTTTGATAATAAGCCAGCACTGATCAGTGATGAGGAGCTGTTGTGCACGGTATTGTGTAAATCGTCTAAGGACGAAAAAAAGACGTACCTTCTCCCCATCTTCCGTCGCTAGTGGACGCTGGATTAAGCTCGTTCCTAAACCGCGAGAGGAAAAGACGCTGATCCAGAGGTACGAACAGCTTCACGCACATTGCACTCGCTGAACACATACACACGGCGTCGGTTCTTGGTCGGTATCCAAGCGCGCGAAGGCACAGAGACACGGCACTTCGGCGTGCCAAGGATGCTTTGAACACGCCGCCAGCCCTTCCTTTCGACGCGTTGTGCCTTTTTCCTGCGACACTGCACTTTCGTAAACTTTTCCACGTGTTCACAACGGCAAGTCTCAACAATACACAGAGTCTTCAAAAAACTTCCTCGGCGAATGACGACGAGCGAGTAGAAAACGTGTCGTCAGCACGCTGGAAAACCGCAGCAAAGGCTAGCAAAAACGGCAAATCGTATCCCAAGCGAGTGAAGCCCGGTGGCTTCACTTGCGCTGCAGCGAACAAGCGGGGAAGCGCGATCCAGCAATTGTCATAGAGATCAGTGGTGCCAACAGTGCGGACGAGGCGAACAACCTTGTCACGGCCAGACTGGCCAAACTCAAAAGAAAGGAAAAAATAATAATAAAAAAAGCCGCGGCGCGATTGGAGGCTCAAGGTCATATTTCCTTAATTCAGAGCAAAACAGTCGCAGCTATGGAAGGTATCTTTAAAACAGAAACAGTAGAATGCATCGAAGCACCTTCCCCGGGGCCTGGGCAGTGTTTCACTATGCCCTGCCCTTGGATCTTGCTTAAACGGAAAACAAAACAGTACCTCAATGTATTTTAATAATTTTCTACACAGGCAAAAAAAAAAAAAAATAAATAAATAAAGAAACACGAGCACGCTCGATGCGGCACGAGCGCGTTGAGCCACTGGAAGGTCACGATAGTCCCGAAAGTCCCTATTTGAGCCTTGACGGTTTCTTGACGAAGAAAAAAAAAAAAAAAAAAGAGTAATAAGATTCCCGCTCAGCTCGCACAAGTTAATTGAACAGCTTTCTTGTGAGAATTGAGCCCGATGTACAAGTTTCTGTAAGTTCTGTCCACTTTTTTTCTACAGGGTGTACTTCTCTAGCTATTGTCGAAAGACCCAACAGATGCCTGTCACTATCCTTCTAGAACGTGGACGAACGTTACTAAAACACTCAGTTGGGAAACTCGCCGTCGAAACCTGGGCCGCTGGCGTCCACCGAGACCGAGCTAAATGCGACAACAGCGCCACTATTTTTCGTTTGTCTGTACTGTGGGCACCTCGAGCTTCTTGAAAGCCTGTTTTTGCGTAAAAGCAAACGGAAAAGACTCTTTTTGTATGGAATTTATTGGAGTTTAGTACCAAATGATGGGCGCGTGATGTTTTTATCATCTTTAGTTCGCAAGGGTTTGCGGAACAATTAATATTGTTTTTATACAACCTTGCCTCAGCGGGCCTTTCAGGTAGCGCGTCTTGACCTAGGTGCATTTTAACTGCGTATGTTCAACGCGACGCGTCCGCCAGGGAGGCGGGGGTGGCTTCCCTGTAATCTCTACCGCTGTATCTGTTGTTAAAGCCAAAATAGAAGTCACGTGCAGTTCCTCGAGTGGCCGCTGCGGGAGAAATGGTGGCGTTGTGTTTGTCATTAGCTCGGTGCTTGGAGACAGATTGGGGCCACTTTTTCAAAGCTGTCTTTGTGGAAGTTTCCCAACTAAGTGTTTTAGTAACGTTGACGTGGACGAAGGGTGCCGAAGCACCCGCCGAGAAGAGACGACACGCAGCCTGGTTGTGATGGTGAACCACTGATCTCAATTAAAACATTCTGGCGGGCTAGTTGGTTACACATAATTAAATTACAAATAGCGCTAGGACGAGGACAGACGAAGAAGTGGACAGGACAGGCGCTGTCCACTTCTTCACCACACTGATCTCAATCAGTGTGGTGAACGATGACTGACTGGAGCGGCGTGCGCTCAAGGGTGTTGGATGGATGGATGGATGTTACTGGCTATACCCTTTGTATCGGGTGGTAGCTTGCGCCACCTAGCCTAAGTCTAAGAAAGACAAACATTTGATTTGATTTTCTACCCCTTAACTATCACCAGGTAGTGTGGGATATCACCAGGATGATTTTCGGGGGATCGGGCAAAAAAAACTAAAAACATCACCCCCCGCCTCTTCCCCCCGGCGAGGGAGTCGCCAATTTTCCTCTGGTCAGACCTTGTCGGCGTTACCCCCGCACCGGACCCACTGGGAGACAGGGTTGAGACTGTGGGCCGGAGCCACGCGGGAGGGAGTCCCAATTTTCCTCTGTCCCGCCTGTCCCCAGCTGTGCTAGTTAGTTCTGCATCATTCAATTTTCCCTAGATAATTTCCACCAATCTTCTAATCGCCTCTTTGTGACTGTAATCCTCTTCTCCTCCGTCCCTCCATCGTCGCCAGCAAACCCCAAGGCCCCGGCCAGATCTGTTACTAACGGCCAGATCTGTTACAACTTACTAACTGCCTCCCTGCTCTCAAAAGACGACCATCCCATGTCCCCCTGTACTCCCTCATTTGGTGTTTTTCCATGTGCTCCCAGTGCCAGCCTGCCTACGCTTCTTTGCCGAATTTCTAATCCTGATTGAACCTCCGATTTCATGCACAGCACTGCATTGCCAAAAGACAGCCCTGCCACTATCACTCCTTTCCATATACCTCTGACCACTTCATATCTATTATAGTTCCATAGCGCCTTGAACTTCATAATTGATGAATTTCTTTTCCCCTTTCTAATTATATTCTCCTCGTGTTCCTCTAGATATTTCGTTCCCTCATTGAGCCAGACTCCCAGATATTTTTATTTTCCTACTTGGTCTATTTCGATGTCCTGTATCCTCAGGGGTTCCCTCTTTTTGTCATTAAACACCATTACTCCAGACTTTTCTCTACTAAAACTCATGCCCAATGTGTCCCCTTCCTCTCCACATATTCCAGCTAGTTCCTGTAACGTATCCTGGTTATCTGCCATAAGTACTATTTCAGCAGCGTACATCAGTCCTGGTATTACCTGTACTACATTTCTCCCTCCTTCCATATAACTCACATCAAAACCTAAGTTGCTCTGCTCTACTTTCTTTTCCATTTCCCTGAGATATATCATGAAAGCAGAGGTGACAGTGGACAGCCCTGCTTGAGCCCTCTTTTTATCGCTGCGGGTTGTGTAGTTTCTGCCTCCCATGCTATAATTACCTTATTGTCTGTATACACCTACTGAAGAAACCCAACCAAATATGCATCTAAGTTATATTCTCTCAGCTGACTCCAGAGTTTTTCCTGGCTCACATTATCGTACGCTCCCTTGATGTCCAAATAAGCCAACCACAAAGGAGTCTGGTTCTTCATTGCTATTTCTATACATTGTGTGGTGACGAATAAGTTAGCTTCCAGTCTTCTATCTCTTCGGAATCCATTTTGTAGCTCACCCAATATTTGATTTTCTTCTACCCATTCCTCCATACTCCGCTTTACTATCTGCATAACTAATCTGTATAGAACTAAAGTTACCATTATTGGGCGATACGACTTAATGTTGTCTTTGTTTCCTCGGCCTTTATATATTAGTCTCATTTTACTCAGTTTCCAATCCCTAGGCACCTCTCCTCCCATAATTATTTGATTTATTGTATGTCGTAACTTCAATTTGCTTGTTTTTCCTAATGCCCTAATGAGTTCCACGGGTATGTCGTCTGGGCCTGTTGCTGTACCTGCTGGAACCTTACTTTCTGCCTTATCTCATTCCCTTGCGGTCGTCTCCATTGTTACATAATTCTGCTCCTCCTCTATGCTGCTGCTGTCAGTG